CACCAATCAGAGCGTCGTTTTTGTTCTTTGGTTTGAGTGGTGTTCAAATTTCAAACAATTAACGCGGGGATTCGTAAAAAGGAGTCATCATTTAGAATGACAAAAATGGTGGCTTTTCTGTATTTTAACGTGTATTTTACCGCACCTTATGAGATGTGCGATACTACTGGACGGGTTTCAGTCACAGGAAATTATACGAGAAATCTAGAACGATTTAAGCTTACATGTCGTCAAACGTTTAAAGCGACATATTAACGCCTACAACCATTATGTTTCATACGAACCTCGCAAACTTTTAAATACGTGCTCTTGTGATACCTGCGAAAGTATTCAGTATAATTTCTGGTAAGATTTTCGCGGACAATCTGATCGATTTCTCTTACATTGTGTGCTGACTGAAACTTTTCACCTCGGGCAAAGCTTCGTCGCACGGCCCAAACAAACAAGGCGAGCAAGTGAGCTTCTTGTACATTCCGTGTTAAAACACACGAAAGGACTCTAAAGCATACTTCACTCTGATTGGGCAGAAAAACACAAAGATTTTCTGGCACCAATCAGATGCCAGAACGACTGCGACCGTTTGGAACTAGTCTTGTGAGACAATGTCCCCAGGGGCTCTTCCGCCCTGACTTAAAATCGACTCACAGCCCCTGGGTCTCCGAGGATGGCAAGAATGAGGCTCAGGTAGCAAATTATTACAACTATGAATTAAGTAGAGACATAGGAAAAAATTCTGGCCCTCCAACATATGTTGACCCGAACAAAACGATGGTAGCTCCCTATAGTCAAGGTAACGAGTTAGTTTTTGGACAGAAAGTAGGACAACAATGTGTTGCAATGAGTTTGTGTTCTTTGATTTACGATAACACACATGGGATCAGCTCTGCAAATGATCTCATACAAATAATAAATATTGGAACATTGGTAATATTAGTTTTGCTCACTCACGTAAAAATTGCGCAAAGCATTTGCATTAAGCATATTTGATCGATAATCTTGTTTTTGCCGTGTGATTGCTCTTTCGGCGAAGGTTGAAACTATCAGCAAGTTTACCATGTGCGTCGAGTGCGAGGTGAAATATCCGTTTCTTTGCTGGTAAAAGTTCTTCATGAATTACATCTTCTGTTTAAACAGTATTTTCCCGCTCCAATTACGTGTCACTATGGACTAGACTTTCCTAGATGAAATGTCTTTTTTTAAGTGAACGACCTTATTTTTTTATGACGTCATCCTACCCCTCTTAAAAAAATTCACGTGAAACTTAATGCTACTGTTAGTCAATTTTCCACGTAATTCTCACGTGCTTAGCCGTTTTCTACCTATGAAATTCGCTTTTAGTTAACTTGGACTTCACCCCATCACGTGTCAATTCCTTGTAAACACCCCGTATTTTTCACGTATTCCGCACGCACGAGTCAAAGTCCACTAGGCAACAACGAATTGAGGAGACTATGTTGATTTGGTTTGAAATATGATACTGTACTCTTCGTCCGATATAATTTCACTTGTTCGAAGAACGAGACTGCAAAATGTCTATTGCAGATAAAATAGAGTTTCAGTTAGCTTTCCACTTCAAAATTATGTAGAAGAACATTTTTGAGGCAACCAACTGTAACTGAATAATTTTTATTTTGTCTCTGACGAAGGAAAGGTAGTTAGCATTGCGGTACTTAAAATGCGGTGAAAGGGTAGTACTCTTTAGTATCTTCCATCGTTAAACATTGAAACTGATTCTTCCCACCTGAGATCATGAGAATGACTTTAATAGGCAATGAATCATTACATTTGTGAGTTAAGTGGATGTGCCTTTGGCTGCATTTTCTGACAAACGAATTCAAACACTATGAAAGTTAATGTAATGGTGATGGTATGACTCAGTGAACGGTCACTAATAAAAGCAACAACCTGCCATTGATTAATCTTACTCCTGAAGAGGGCCAAAGAAACTGATCGAAACTTCCAATAGGCTAGTTTCGAATAGTTTTTGCGAGATAGTCTGATTTTCTGCACTAAGCCGAGGCTGAGGGGTATATGCGCTTATTTTGAAAGCAAGTTATGGAGTGCCTTCTGTCGTCGCGCTGATCAGGAGTTCGCGTCCATCAAGAACTTTCATATATGCTCCGAACACTTCGAGACTAAAGAAATCGTGAAGACACTTTTTGGAATTAAAAGGTTAGTGCACGGCACGGTTCCAACAATATTTAATCAGCATACATTTCGTAGAAGTCCAAGTCAACACGAAAAAAGTCGAATGGGCGGAAAAAGCGAAATGCTAGTGAAGACATCAAAGAAGTACTCCCGCCAAAATTTCCGTGTTTCTACTGATATTGTAAGTATATGAATTAATTTTAGTATAGATTGTGCTTCAATTCCATTATGAAAGGTTCTTAAAGGCTTACTCAAGCTTGCGTAACCTCTTCAAGAATCTTTCCACTCAGGAGTTTAGGCATCATGTGCTCAAAAAATAAAAATAATAATTAAAAAAAAACTGTGATAGCTTCCCCACCGTTTGCTCCCACAGACCTTTGTCAAGTTTTACCGGTAATACTAAAATTCCTTTTGATTGTAAATATTAAGATTACACTGTTCCAATCTAGCCAAAGCTAGCTGTCCTTGCCTTTGATAGTTCCAAGTCGTTTCTTTTTTGACATAGTATTTTCCAGCCACTTCATCAAGGCAATGAGCTGCTGCAACATGGGGTTGAAGAATTCTCTCGCCAAAAATGCTCAAGAAGCTCCGAGATATGGATACTGCTTGTCTTTAATAAGACCACGTTGAAAAACCTCAATACCCTTAAGTTTTGTTTTATGTTTCTTGATATACTCTTTGATAGCCACAACTTCCTTCTCATGACCCCAAGAAAGTTGATGAGGGGTGTTATCCTCACTAAGGGGACAGTAATTCATTAGAAGCTTCATTGTATTTTTGGAATTGGGTGTCTCTTTCATGTGGCATATTTTGTAAAAATTGGAGGCTGTTATCCTCCCTGCCCTCTGTGAAAACCAAAATTCTGAATTATCAGTACTGTGAGTTAGTGTTTTTTATAAAATAATTCAAATAGTACGCGCGCTCTGATTGGCCATAAAACCATTTTACATGAGCGTATGTAAACACGGTTTTCGTTCCTCTTTCATTTGTTATTTTATAAAAGAAATGTAAAATGGTTTCCGTGTTTACATAGCCTAATGTGAACACACGGGAGGTTGGGAGAACACGAGCTTAATAATTATTTAGACATCAGTTGCAACAGGCCATAAATTATGTGTGTCTGAGTTTATTTCAGATAAATTAGGAGGTTTGTTTGCTATCCATGGAATCTTGTGAAACTACATGCTCTTTTTCTTTTACAGAAATATAAACATCAGTTACTTAGTGTCCCACTTCAATCCTGTCATCCAAAAAAATAACTCTTGCATGCGAAGCATGCCCATGTTTCTACGAAGCGCGCAGTTAAAATGTTATAAGAGATACAGAAAATGGAAACATGTTATTTCTGCTTTTTTCCCAGTGTCATTCAATTGCATTTGATTGCAGTTTCATTGAGATACTCTATGTAAATTACCTGAAGAGAAAAAGGCGGAAAGAAAATCGAGTTATTACCGGAAAAATGTGGTGAAAGGGGAGTACTCCTTAGTATCCTAGTATCGTATCGAGAATCCAAGAGACAATTTTCAAAATACTGGGTTTCGTAAAAAATTCTTTCCGAGAATTACCCTTGGCCCGCCCTCAGACTACTCTTTACCGCATGATCGTGTTACCCGTCAGTGTAATTAAAGACAGAATGAAAGTCAGATATTATGGAGACAATAATTCAGTATGAGCAGATTTCCCTACAGTAATCAACATTATACTTCCTTTTGGTCGTAGAGGGGCCTATGAGAGTATGCAGAGTTTGCCACGATGATGAAGAGATGCGACTAGATGTTACGATGATGAAACGCGATATTTCGCGCATTACAGATAAGTTGGAAACACAAGGCCAGAAACTTCAAGAAGTGTGGGGAGTGTGTGAGAGTACCCATGAAAACATAGAATATTACATAGAATCAGGTGCTGAAAGGATGGATTGTGATATTTCGTGCATGACAGATGAGTTGGAAACACAAAGCCATAAACTTGAAGAAGTGTTGGGAGTGTGTGAGGTGACCCATGGAAGCATAGAATATTACTTGGAATCAGATGTTGCAAGGATGAAAGATGATATTTCGTCCATTACAGAAGAGTTGGAAACACAACGAAAGAAACTCGAGGAAGTGGGGAAAGTGTGTGAGAAGACCCATGAAAGTGTGGAGAATATCCTAAAAGAGTTGCAAAAGCAACAAAACAGTAGGACTGAAAGTGCAACTGGAAGGAAGCGCAGTAAGGAGAAACAAAAGGTGGACCCCCTCTGCCGTGTAAGTCACTTGTCAAAGGAGTAGTCTCCAGTTCGCTTATACTCAGGAAACTATTAAGAGAAACAGAATTTTCTGGACCATTCTTAGGTTTTAGATTACCTCCGGTTGTTGCAACAAATTTAAGGGTCAGCAGTTTATCTGAAAATTAGGCTTCAGTCCCCTCGCGTCCGTATACACATATTGAAATTTTCGTGCAAAAAGAACAGTAATGTTATGCAGTTTGTCGTGCTATGATCGTTTCTTTGCTGAATCTCGTGTACTCCTTCTATTTAAACTGTCAGGTAGGTTTTGCGTTGTCTGTTGCCGTTTGATGTTTCGCTTTGTGATCGTAATTATTGTTGTCGGTAGTTGGCTGTAGTGTAATTTAAGTTAATCATGTTTCAGAAACCACTGGTTACGAATAAATTGTATGGTTCGTGTAACCGTTTTGAAATTTGACGCTGCGTTCGCTACAAAATAGTCAAATCAAGTTGTGATTAGGATGTCTCTGTAGTGTGTGATTTGTATTTTATTCCCTTTTCTGCATTTTCAAGTGTTGTTCAAGCCTTTGGGAACATTTGATATCCTAACCGTTGGCAAATGGTTAAAAACTGAGAATAATCTCTTGCAGAAATTTTCACTTATCTAACACAAAGATGTGCTTTTATTTTCAATACAGGACACTTTTCGAAAAATGTACAGAAGTCTTGAGAAGAAAGATAACTTTCAAGGATTTAATTTCAAAGTAAGGTAAATTTACTTATCATTTTGGAACATCTATCTATTAGAGTTTACGGGAAAAGACATAAGTATTTATTAATTTGATGTATCTGGAGTATAACTATTAACTCGAAAGCAGAAGTTTGAATCGAGGTTAAAGTCGAGCAAAGCTCCTATCAAACTGGAAGGATAATGAAGAGATAAAGACAAAAAGGTTCTAAAGACTCTGAAGCAGTTTAAGAAGAAACTTAGGAAGATTCCCTTGTCGAGCATTTGCCAGAGTGTACCGCACAAGGATCGACCTCTGAAATCATCAGTTGGCTTGCCAACAGACTCCTTACCGAGTGATCCTCGGATCCGAGAAATCAACCCTCAGCGAAAGACTTAATTTGTTGCAAATCAGGTTAAGACCAAGAAAACAATGCAGTGGTGTTTTTTTTACTTTCCAATGCAAGCTTTGACTCAGCGGAAAACGAGGAGGTTTTTAGGAGAGTGAAAGAAAAAATGTCTGGTAACAATGGCTCCAGCAAGTGGACAGACGAAGGGATAAAACGTAAGATGGTCGTAATTCTTTCTCTTTACCTATCACTTTGCCTTTTTTCATCTTCTCATTGTCTTAGGTTGTTTCTAAGTTGTGGATCTGTTTATAGCTAATTTCGTGTACACTTTATATCATAATGCTATGAGTACCCTCATTGTCAACCGATTTCCCCTTAACGTTCTTGATTTTGTCGCATGTCACTTACGGCCGCCTTACTTCTTTGTGTAAACTTATATCATAGATATAAAAACTTGTGAACTCATATTTGCCTCTTTATCCCATCAGCCCATAGATGCTTCTTCAGTTCTTAGGCTTGCCGAAAATGTGAAACCAACCTAGTATTTTTTTCACTGACAGTTGTTGGTCGAAGATATTTCTTGTCTTTGTACGAAACAGACAAGAAAAAATCTGACAACAAGTACGACGATCACAAGACAAATAGTCGACGCCAGAACAGGAAAAAACAGGTTTGTACGCGTGTGGGTGTGGGTGGGAGGGGGGGGGGGGGGGGGGGGGGGGGGGGGGGGGGGGGGTTCGGTAACACGGGGAATTAAGGAAGCCTTATTCGATTATAAATAAATTTGCCAAACGTTTGCTTTAATGCTAATCTCCAGAGGTAATCGTCTCAACCTAAATAATTAGGTTGCCATGATAACTGGTGGAGGTGTCAGGAAAGCTTGAGTACTGAAATTAGATTACCTTAGAATTCGTTTGCCTTTTTTCATTGCTTTTGGTTTGTAATTTTGTTACCTCATTATAGAAATTGAACAGAAGAACGGAAGCACTGGATAAGATTGATTGGGTTAGACGTGAAAAAGGAAAGGCAGCTGAGGTGCTCACTGAGGAATACATGTCATCAGAAGTGTCGGAATCAGGAGAAGAGTCGCTATCGGGTGATGAAGGGTGTTCTAAAGAAAAGAAGTTGTATATCAAAACAGTTCCGTGGGAGAGCGAAGATCTCAAAACATTAAAAAGCAAACTTGATGTAGAGTACGCCAGCCGTCAGACTTCTCGCTCTCGACGTCGCGAATTTCAAAGAGATAGGCGTCTTGAAGACGTTTCTTCACGTCCAAAACCTAAGAACGGTCCATCATGGGCTTTCAAGAAGGACGATGGGCAGTGACGTCGACAAATAGAACCCGGATTACCAAGAGTAAACGTATTACTCATGCTGTGAAAATGCTGACTTGCATACCATAGAATTTTCCAGAACATTTCATCAAGTTACGCATTTATTACGTAATACTACTAAAAGGTTCTTATGTAACCTTCTGGAATGTTCTAGAACATTTTGTGAAAATATGTGAAGACTTGAAGATTTTAGATATATTAAAAATTCACATATTTGCACTGCGGTGGAAGATGGCTTGTTAGCTCAATTGGTAGAGCGCTGCACCGGTATCGCAGAGGTCATGGGTTCAAATCCCGTACGGGCCTGAAATTTTTTTCAGGTCCTACTTACAACTACTAGTTTCAGTAGTGTTCTTAGCTGCGAGGATCTTCTAATTTCATGTGAAGACTTACTTATGTAGTAGTAGTAATAGTTGTTGTTGCCGGAGCGACAACAGCTTTGAAGGCCATACTGAGAGAGTGTTACTGCGGAAGATTGCTCATTTCAAGGAACTTTGGAGACAGCAGTGAGATTGTGTTAGTAGTGAGCTAGGATATAGACTGTGGTGGGCTTAATTAAGTTTATTAAAAATAATTATTGTACTGCTTTAAGGAATCTCTCCTTCTTAAGAACATTACTCGCTGTTTAATAAAGCAGTTGAGCTTGTGGGATTGTAGTGTTTTTCTGTTGGTTAGATTATACCGTAACAATGGTTTTGTTGCAGTCAATTTCATGGTTAACATCCTGGTGTGTTACTCTTGGGTCGGGTCTTTCGATGTTGGAATTTGAATAGTTGCAAGTGTTTTGCAAGGCGGATTTTGTGTCATTATTGGCTGTAGAGGGAAATTGTTTGGCTGTTTCAACGGTAATTTAGGGAATACTGGACGAATGGAAATGTTTTCGATGCCTCGATAGAGTGATCTTGTGAAGTCGTTTATATTTGGCCGAGGACGAACTCAGATACCATGATGAGCATGTTTATTTGATTCTCATTACTGGGATACCTGTGGTAGCCCAGTCATAAAATGCCTTTGTTTTTCTGTCGTCTTTTCTTTTTCCTCCGCCACAAAATGGAAAATTTGCGCAATAGTACCCAGTGGCCATTGGGCCCTCAACACCATGACAACTAACTGTGATCAAATGAGGGTGAAGGTGTTCACATACTGATCACGTGTTATCTTGATGATGACTGACGTTGTCATGCACGGAGAGAGCCGGGTCACATGACGAACCACGAGATTTCTGCTTAAAACACTCTTTTGTCAGCCATTTTGTACGATGGGCCAGGAGGCTCACAGTCCAGTTTTAATTTTCCACAGTCCAGTTTTATTTTTTCAGTCTAGTTTTATTTTTTCACAGTCCAGTTTTATTTTTTCACAGTCCAGTTTTATTTGTCCACAGTCCAGTTTTATTTTTCTCACAGTCCAGTTTTATTTTTTTCACAGTCCAGTTTTAATTTAATTAACAGATCTCTTCTTACTGATACATACGCAAGCTCACATTTAACAGCCATATTAGAGTGATGAGAGTGATTTAACAAGAGGACGGGAACGTCATTTCAGAACGGGAAAGCGCGCGGATAATCTGGACACGACTCTATTTCGACTTCCGGTGTTAGCGTTGCCGTTCTCCCCAACAAGTTCAGGACGTCATTACGCTGCTTTTCCCGTCGCGATCAAAACGCCTGGGATTTGCGTAAATTTTGCGCTTATAAACGAGATAATGCTGTTTGGAATTATTTCAGAACTAATTTCCAGGATAACCAGGTTCCTTCCTTTGGTTTACTCGATGTATTTTGGGAACATTTACCGCTTCATTTATACTGAATTTATGGGCGGCCGTCACCACCAAAAATACAAGGATGTCAAATAGATCAGCAAATACAAAGATGGTGTAAGGATCAGCTGCAGGATAGCGTAGCTAATAAAGGAATGGCATGGCCAAATTATAGACAGTCTAGTTTTCCTTCGTGAAACAGAACACCCTAAACATGAATAGTTTAGCCAAATGAGAAACGGTCTAGTAGCCCATGTTGAGTTGGAACATGAGATTGTGAAATGGACTAGCTCAATTACGAATAGCTTAGCACTCATTTGCAATACAGTACTCAAACGGTGTAGCGTTGAGTTGAACGGCTCAGGGTAACGTCGAGTAGCACAGCGTACGCACAAACGGTGTAGCGTTGCGTCAAATGGCTCAGCTTAATGTAGAATGGTACAGCGTACACACATATGGTGTCCAACTTCAACGGCTCGCCTTGGCGGCCGTCACCACCAAAAATACAAGAATGTCGGCTATTAAACTCAACTATTATTAAAATGTGCATTAAATGTCTATTGCCGAGCTCTCATTTCTTTTCTTTTCTGACTTGCGCTTACTTTTCAAAGGGAGTTTAACTTCAACGGTTCTTTGAACATTGCAGGAGTACGTGAGAAGTTGGATTTTGTATGTGCCCTGGACGCCATGGTCATGCAACTCTAGTCAATATATCTAGTGTGTACTGACCTCAGTCTGTAGCAATAATAATAATAAAAATAATAATAATAATAATAATAATAATAATAATAATCACAAAAATTAATAGTTGAGGTACAGAAATGTAAAAATAAATAAAAATGTAAATAAATACGTCTACCGAAACAAACGACGAAACAGCAAGATGTCCTGTCAATTGTCTGAATTATGCAATCGTTTTTATTCAGCAAGTTGCGACTGTAACAGATCGAACGGTAAAACTCGACCTAGAGTTGGACAATTACGTACAACTACGTGCATTACGGTGTCCGCAATAGCCTTCCTTAATACGTGATGACTACGGAATGGGAAAGAGCACAGGGAAGATAAGTATGTATGCACGCAAAACCAACTCAGAAAAAATATTACTCTGGCAAAAACTATTTTGAACGCGAAAAAAACCCTTAAACTGTTTTCGGTCCAGACATGTAATCTACGTTTGATCGACAAAATAAAAATGGAACTTACTTTTACTATCACTGCACCCAGGAAAAAATTAATAAACAAAGCAATATAATGTACACCTCTTTAAAATAATAAATATGTCTTCTCTTAGCTTACTCTTATCGTCCGGCACACCAATTAAAGCATTCCGATATCACTTTGATCGAAAAATGTCAAAACAGATCAAGGATAGCAGTTTTCTTACCATGGCGTCCAGGGCACACACAATATTCAACTTCTCACGTACTCCTCCAATGTTCAAAGAGCCGCTGAAGATGGACTCTCATTGAAAAGTAAGCGTGAGTCGGAGAAAGAAAAGAGAGCTCGACAATTGACATTTAATGCACGTCATAACACTACTTAATACTATAAACATGTTCAGGCCCACCAACGCGTGCAAGCTGTGGTAAACCGGGAGGCCGGCAAACCGTGGTAGAATTCAGTCTCGTTGCTATTTTAAT